AAAAAAAAGAAATTTAATGTATTCTTGTTTAAATTTCTTGTTTTTCATACTCATTACAAAGCAAATATTTTAAACACCTTTTTTTATTTCAGAACTGTGATCTTTTATTAATTCCTGATTGGTGGGTTGAATTTGAATATTTTGAGATTCTTCACTAACATATTTTTCAACATTATTTTTTCAGACACTTCTGGTCTTTACACAATGATTCATTGTGGCTGTTATAATTTTAAAAATAAAATAAAATAATTTCTAAAAAATTTCATTTTTATATTCAAGAGTCATTATGTATATATTACTAACTACTAATAGCTGATGCAAATGTGTAATATTTCACACATGCATGCATTTGTCACAGAGGAAAAGTATTTGTAGTATAATTGGACAATTATGTACTGTTTAAGATGCCATTAAAGAATTGTTAGTGTGAACCTCTTTGACAATTGGATTAATAAATGGCAACCACTGGCCTAAGAAATGTAAAATCTTAGTGTAGCTAGCCAGTGTCAGACCATACAATTGACATCTTCCTTCCTGTGGCACTGGAATAAGTTTTTATAGCCTGACTAAAATTTCATCAATTAAGGATTTAATATTCTTCTTCCAACCAGACAATAATAAACTACTTGACAGTGTAACACAACTCTGACTTTACTTTCCCAGAGTGAGGTTTGCTATATCTTCAGGGTTCTAAAAGCATCCTTGAGAGTTTTTCAAGTGATTTCTCCAATATTATTGGCTTAAGTTCCCATTCTAGTGTGTTCTCCCTAGTATTGATTGGTTGAAAATCATTAAATATCTGCCAGCCTTAAGTAACTTTTAGAAAAGGATATTGACTAAGGTTATATGGTAAGAAGAATTAGTATAAAACCATTCCCCCTAAAAGTCCATGTTACACTTTTATATAGCAGTATATACTGAGTTGAGGGGCAAATGGGCTCAAGCTTACAGAGTTCATGTGACAAAGGGATGCAGCACTTCATAGGTCCTGGTTTCTGGAAAGCTCTTTCTCTTCTTTTTGGGCTGCTGAAGAAGTTCCACTTAGATATGGTATAGTTTCTTAGCAGAGCGTCTTGTGGAACTTTGTCTATCCACCCATTTTGTCCTTGACTGCCAATGTAGACACTAAGACCAGCTGATCCAGGGATGCTGCTAGAACACTTGTGGAAGGATAAAAAGTCCAAAATTCTCTGAACCTTTCAAAGCTTGCAAGATCTTTCTCCAATCAAAGCAGGTTAGGGTAAGACCTCGCTGGGGATGGAGCCAAAGTCTTTTCTTACTCCTCAAATGGTTCCTTCCCAAGAGGTTTAGCTGGAGTGCCTCACTAGTTTCGATCTCTTGAATGGCTCCAGTTCTCAACTGCTTATCTTGTAAAATTAATTTGTTTAACACCCAAGGGTAAGACTTTATATTTATCCTTACTGAATTTCATTTTATTAGATTGAGCCTTCTGTTCTAGTCCAGAGATTCTTAAGTTAGGGTCTGCAGGCTGAAGGCATCTGTGATACTCTGGAGAATTCAAGAACTCAAATGAAAAAAAAAACACCTCTTTATTTTCACTAGCCTCTAACTGAAACGGACTAGTTACTTCAATTATGAATTGAAAAAAAATATCCCAAGAAAAGATACATAGGTTTCAGTGGATTGTCAAAGGGATCTATGACACAAAAAAAGGTCAAGAACCCTGTTTATCAAGATCCGTTCGGACCTTGATTGCCACGTAAAATGTCAGTGATCTCTCCCAGCTTTTATTATCTACAAATTTGACAAGCACACCACTTATACTTTTATCTAAGTCACTAATTAAAATGTTAGATAGCAGAAGGCCAAATAGATTTTATTCCATTGGAGATTTCCTGAATTGATATTAAACTATTTGAACTGCTCCTTGCATCCAACCATCTAATTTCAAGGGGTGTGCTGGATATAGCTTGAACTGACTTTTGAGAGCTAATTGTTAAATTTTGTTTATGAGCATTTACACCTTGGAAATTAATAAATGCTGTTGTTTACTTATTGTTTTACTGATTGTCTAGACTTAAAAATGATGGAAAAAATTTTGATAATGCAGATTAAACTTAAGAGTGAATCATAAATACATTTTTCTCCCCGAAAAGCCAGTTGTTAAACATTTATCAGCATATCCTTATGTCTAGACAGGTCTGAATCCACCCAGCATATTATCCTCTAGTATAGAGCTGTCATACCCCATCCCTCCCAAATATAATACAACATAGAAAATGTTAATTTATAGTTCTCTAAGTCAATAAGTGGTCCACAAGGATCCATTTCTATTGGAGTTTGACACTACTGATCAGGTACACATCTCTAGCTTTACAATAGCACTAAAATACTTTATTAAAACTCTGTGAAGATCTAAGTAAACCATATTCATAAATTCCCTTCCTTTACTAGTTTAGTAATCTTGTTAAAATAGGAAAATAAGTTTAGGCTGGCTTGAATTGTTTAAAGTTTTTAAAAAAATTAATAAGCATTTCTTCTTTTTTCCCTCTCACCCACATTCCACCGAGAGGGAAAACAAAGCTCTTATAACCACTGCATTGTAAAGCAAAACAAATTCCCCACACTGGCCATGTCTAAAAATGCATGTCTTTATCTTACCCATCACCTTTTCTCTTAGAAGATGAGTAGCTTCCTTCCTCATCAGTCCTCTGGAATTATGATTACAGAATAATACAGGGATACACTGGTAAATATTTAACAACCAGGCTTTCCAGAGAGGAAAATGTGTGCATATGCACTTTTAATTTTCATCTGCATTACTAATACTTTCTTAAGTCCAGAACATCAGGAAAACAATAAACAAATCCTTATTTGTAGATTTCAAGGTTTAAATACTCAGGCTGAAAGTTTAACAATGGGCTCTTCAAGTTCAAGCTCATTCCAGCTTACCCCTGGGAGAAGGACATATTTTCAGTTGTGTGAAAAGATCCCGTCTTGTATCTCACTGACCTGAAATGACTTCCCAATGATCAGTTCCTCTGTTAATAGCTCCCATTTATATAGCACTTTAAGATTTGAAAAATGCTTTATAAATATCCCATTTAAGCTTCACAACAAGCCTGTGAGGTAGGTGCTATTATTATCCCCATTTTACAGTTAAGGAAACTGAGGCAGACAGAGGTTAAGTGACTTGCCCAGGCTCACACAGCTGGTAGGTATCTGAGACTGAATCTGAACTCAGGGCTTCCTGGCTCCAGGTCTGGCAATCTATCCACTGGGCCACCTAGCTGCCTTTGTCTGGAAGTGGTCCAAAGACTTTTTCTTTTCAGCCTCAGCAAGGCTTTCACCTTTCATTTCTTGCTCAGGTCCCTTGATCACTGCACTCATTTGAGGCCTTCACTTCCCAGATCCTTTCCTGAGCTTGATCTGTGATACCTAATCTTTATTAGCCGTCCTCTTACCACCATCACCATTTGGGGCTGTGGTGCTGGTTCAGATCCTGGGTTTCCTACAGGAAGCAGAAACTCACCCACCAAATCTCCTTTCCCATGGAGTAGCCCATCCCTCACTGTAAACAGACACTCACTCTTTGGGTTTTTACTTTAATAAAGCACAGACATTTATATCCCCCCTTTACCTTTTTTGCCTTTATGGGCAAATTATAGCAGGCCAGGACACACATATTTGGAGGAATACAGTATACCATGTAGAGGGAAGATGCATTAACTGAGTTCTCTAATTTCCAGTCTCCTGATACCATGCAGCAGTTTTTCATGTGATTTCCCTCTGGAGGTTCTTGAGTTGAGTTGCTCTTCATTTCCCTCTCCATTCCCTCCACTGTACTGTTTCCTCTCACCCTTTGAAGCAATTTGTTCTACTTTCTTTCCCTCCTTCTTGCTAACTTAACACAGTCTCTTGTCTCTTCTCACTTTGAGTAAGTGTAATCAATAAACACTAATTTAGGGGTATTTTTTGGTTGTTGTTTTTTTGGGCATATTTGAAAGGAAAAGGGTGATGGGGTATTCCAGGATGTTCCACAATTTTTCTCATGAAAAATGAATGCAAATAGCATTTTTGCCATACATATTTTTGCTTTATAGATAGTTTTCATAGAATGGATTTTGTGTGCGTTTATGTGTGTGTTTAAGGTAAGAGTAAATGAAGGCCAGGGGCAGGGGGACTTGAGGAATACAAATTAAAGAGAATCTTAGCTTCTGGAGAAAGTGCCAATCGTTTATTTGAAAAGGCATAGGTATATATGTATAAATGTGCATGTCATTACATACATGTATAAAGATATATGTGGATTTTAAATCTGTAACAAGTAACAGACTTATTGAACCCGGGAAAAGTAGTGAATTGTTTTGTCTCATTCAGGTTTACTCAGTCTAGTATCATGTATTCAAGGGAGATACATGTACATGTGTAGTACTGGCTAGAACCTGTTACCTGGGTAAAAGTCTTTCCAGGGGTTTGAATGAGTTCAGTGTAATAGCTGAGATAGCCACCAGATGGCACGCTTCTCAAACTGTAACTCCCAGTATGGGGACTATGAGTGTAAGCTATCAGCCTGTTAACAGGCTGTCATATACCTGGTAGCCACGAGGTAGTCAAGCCTGTGAACTCCTGAGTTGTTTCCTTCACAAAGATGTCGATATTGTGTTTGATTCTAAAAGTGGCTTTACCCTCGTTCCTGAATTCCAACCCAGAGGATGAGATGCAATATGAAATGTTGCAAATCCTTACAATTTTCTGGATCTTGAAAGGAGTGATGGGAAGAACTCTGGATGTGGATTAGAGGACCTTGGCTTAGATCCCAGATCTGTGTGACCTTGAGCTAGTCACAAGTCCTCTAGGCAATTCTGACAAAGGGAATTTAAGCACCATGGCCAGCTGGCATTTGGGAGCTAGGCAGACCTTGTAGAGCTCACCAAAGCATCCAGAAACACTGCTGATGACAAATTGGAAGGTTTCATTATAGTATACTGCCCCAGGAGGGCTCCAGAGTTCACTGGTTAAGGCCACTCCCCAAGCATTCCGGCACAAAGACAACCCTTGGTTTTAGAAGCAAAAGTGAAAGCAGCACCTCAGATTGCTCTCCCAGCTGGGTGGAGAAGACCTTTTCTACTTCTCTGGGAGAAGGTGAGCCTTGGGAAGGGTCTGGGGAATAGCAGGGGATATGGGAAGAGATTTGATGGGTTAGAGGAGTCAGGGGAGGGAACACAGGAAAAAAAGGAGCAGGGATTTCTGGGCTTGGGAATGCGAGAGGAAGGGTGGTCAGTTTAATGCACATATGTAGCTAATCTGTCAGCCTTCCCCTTCCTATTTAATAGGGTTTTTTCACTGTACATTACTGAGGGGAATGGTCCATGTTACAATGATTTTTAGAAAACAATATTCTCCCCATGATTACCCTTCCCCTGAATGATTATCTAGGACTGCACATATTTACCTGTGCCCTATACACATGATAAATATGGGTAGAATTTTGGACTAGGAAGATGTGGATTCAAATCCCACTCCAGACATTTACAGGCTGTGTGACCTTAAGTCACTCAGCCTTCCTGGGTCTCAGTTCTCATCTGCAACAGAAGGTGTTTAGATTGGATAGTCTCTATGATCCCTTCCAGCACTTAATCTAGAGTAGCTGTGGATGAGGCTGCCCTGCTCAGCTCCAGCCCAGAATCTAAACGGCAACTTTACTGTGTGCACAGGGAGGCCATGGAGCCAGCCTGAGGTGACTGGGAGAGCAGGACTGACCTTTACTCTATGGGGCAACTTGGCCCCTAGTACTTCAACAAGAAGCCATTTAAGGGAGAGGGCCTGGCTGGTTGCCTGGCTGCTCAGACTGAGCCTCCTAGGGTGTCTGAATCTTAGTGGGGTCATCACTGATGTGAGGCCTGGGGAAACTTCAGCTTTCCAGGTTGGAAACCTGAATTGTGTCTGTATCAGTGAGGAATAATTAGACCCTGGGATGCTGATTCTTGCAAACTAAACTCACAAGAGACTAAGTGCTCAATTAGAATGACAATTGATTTCAGATGGGGGAGGGGTTGTTCCTATAAGATAACAAGTGCAAATACTCAGGAGAGCAAGTGTACTGATTCCTATCTCTACAAAAGTTAAAACAAATGCAGATGTGTGTCTTTCTCTGTCTCTCCTTTCCCCACTCCCAGCCCAGCTACCTCACCACTGCTCAAAGATGGGATCCAGCTCAAGCAAATCTGCCAGTTCAGTGAGTATCACTTTTGTCAATTCCTTGTATTCTGGTGACTACAACTCCTACATAGGCTCCACAGAGGCATAGAGTGCCTAGGCCAACAGAGCTTTTCTAAAGTCAATTTATTTCTTTCCTTTCTCCATTTGACATCACCATGACTCAGACAGATGGAGGTTAGCCCCAGAGAGACAATGGAGCTATTTCATTTCTGGGTCTCCCCCAGATCATGGCAAGGGCATATTTCCATGAAAGTAACCTAATCAATTTACTTTATTGGGTAGGAAATTCTAATGGCTCAATAATAATTTTTGCAAATGCATCAGTTCTATGCTGACCTCTAAGTTAATTATAAAAATAAAACACTGAATATGTAAAATTTAGCAACATGTGAAGAACTCTGTCCTCAGGTGAATTATGAAGTAAGAGACAGGGATTTCTAGTGATTTTCCAGCTCCCATTTTATTCCTTTCTCTCTTAAGAACCCCCATTGGTACTTTGTGACTCTTTCTGGATGAGCTAGGACTCCCCACTAAGGAACCCCACAAAACAAGCAGATCTTCCCCCTCTGCCTTGCCTTCCTCTCTTCTGTGTTTGGCACACTTAACCACCAAATGTGCCACATTCTCACCTCTCAGCATATCCTCTCATCAGTTTATCAAATCTAAGGCATTAATGGCTGGTAATGATTTAATGAGATTCTCTTTTTTGAAAACATCCTTTGCATTTTAAGTTCTTCAGTGCTTTAAGCTAGAGAAATGAGTGGAAGTGGGAGACATCTTGAGGCCTTGTCAATGTGTTTCTTTCTCCCTCCAAGAAAGGAAATTGTGTCATTAAGGTAACTCCTAAGTCTGCCTATGTGAAAAAGACAGTGCTTTCTGGCAGTATTATTAAGTCATTGATTTGTAAACTGTTAAAACTGGAAGGGACATTAGGAGTCCTTTTTGTGCAACCCCTTCAGTAAATAGATGAGAAATATGAGACCCAGGGAACAGAAGCGTGTCTAGAAATGACTGTGATCTGAGACTCTATATGACAAATTCCAGATGAGTAGTACAAAGTGCCATATGAATAGCACCATTGACCTTGCCACCATCCATCAGTCTTCCATGTCCATGTTGATGAATTCTAAGATTTCCATATCTCATCACAATCAGATGTCATCCCGCCTCTCCCTCTGCCTGGTAAATCCAGTCCCTGTTCTTTATCTTCATCCTTATGCCCTTCAGTTCTCTGCAGGCCATCAGCCCTGCGCTGGCTGCACTCCCCTCCCTTCCCTATCTAAATCCTTTGGTGAACAGTTCAATTCTAGACTGTTCTCTTTTTTTGAGTTTCTCATCCCCCTATCCTATTATCCATCTTGCCCTGCCAAGCCTCAGCCTTATATTATTCCCACCATCTTCTGCCATTGCTTCAAATCTTGTGCTACTGAAAGAAGCTTGAAAAAACCCCAAACAATGTCCACTACCAATTTATGTTATATAGTCTCAACTGAGACCTCACTACAAGACAATTTTCCAGGCAGTGGCTTTTAAAATACTTATGGCCCAGGAAGGGATAACACAGCAAGCTATTTTCTGCCATTAGTATTAATTAGATTGTCAGAGATTAGCAAGTCAGTCACCTACTTGGACACTAAGGAATAGAACCTACAGCAGTAAAGTTTTGATAGGGGGAGAAGAGAAGGAAAGACCTAAAACCTTCAGCCGCAGTAGGGGAAGATCTGAGCAGTCCAGGTCAACCTGACAACTCTGGACATTTGTTTCAGTGAGAGCAAAGAAAGGAGTGGAACTCATTAAAGAGACATCAGAAAGCACTGAAGAGAAATGGTGCTGATTTCATGGCTCTGACAGGGGTCTCTTCTCTTCCAAGAACTGAGGAGAGGAGATGAATGGACTTGTCCTCCTCTCTGGTCCTGGGCCAGGAGCAGAGGCCCATAAAGCCAGAAACCAAAGGTTTAGCCAATAGTTTCACCCAAATCAATTTTACCTTCAGGAACATCAAAAGGACTAGATTTGGTTGGTAGATAAAAGATAGAGATAATCATTGGAAAAACTCATATTTAGTGAGTATGTAATATATGCCCACTGCTGCGTTAGACACTGTGGAGATAGAAGACAAGAAGATATGGTCCCTGCCTTAGGTCTAATGGAGGAGAAAAGATGAATACACATGAATCAGGACAAAGCCCTTATTAAATGCCAGGCACTATTGACTTAAACCTTTACATCTAGTTGTGATTTATTACCTATCCACTTACATGGAGGATTTGAGGTGGCTGACCCCCATACTCTATGCTTGGGGCTCAGATCTCTAGACATGTGGCTAGTAAAGGCTCAGATAAAAGAAGAGGGGAGTTTCATTATGGGAGCTATAATGTGATGCATTACTGGAGGGACTACAAAGAGAAAAATGAAGTCCTCAAGGAGCTTGCCTTCTAAAAGGGGAAACAAAAGTTGCTTATAGCAAGAGTCAGCTTCACATGGTGGATGGGGCTCTGGAAGTCCTGGATTCAAATTCTGCTTCAGAAACTTGCTGAGTGACCCTGGGTTAGTCAGTCACAGTCTCTCTGTGCCTCAGTTTCCTCATATATAAACTGAGGGGCTCAGACTGTGACTGCTAAGGTTCTTTTTCAGCTCTAGACCCATGGACAGAAGAAACTGATACAAAATAAATACCAGGCAGTTTTGGGGTGGATCCATCATAAATTGAAGTTACAGAAGGCTCCCATAAAGGAGATGGCATTTCATCCCTACATTGAAGGAACTAAGGGTTTGTAAGAGGTGGCAGTGAGGACAGAGTACATTTCAGACATGGAAGACAGTTTTTAATGTCAGCCATTCCTCCATGCTCTTCTCATGAGATGGCTTAAGAGTCACAGGGTTTTGTTCACTTAAGTCGCCAGGAGGCCCCAGGTGCTAAGAACATGAGAAGAGAAATCAGAACCTGCCCTCTCTCACACTCATCAGGAAACAGTTATTTTTCTTCTGACTAATCTAGCTATAGAAGCCAAAGACCACCCCAGTGAATTGGGTGGGGAATTTGTTGAATGAAACTCAGAGGCTACAGTTGAGAGCCAAGCATATTCTAGACGATGGAAGCATTATGAGATCAAGCAGACAGGTCTCTAAGAGGGCATACATCCTTTCTGTTCTTAAGATTTCTCCTCTGCAACTTCTCCTCAAGCCTATGAAGGGCCCAGACAGCATGTTTCACCTCCATTTCTGTAGTTCTGTGATGCATCTGAGTGTCAGAGAGTATAGCCCTATGGGACGATGCAGCGGGGAGGAACAGAAAGAGAATTCTTCCCTCTGGGGACCATAGAGTCAGACTCAGGCAACACTAAGTCACCTAAGTTTGCTTTGGGACTGCCAGCCTCCCCTTCGTGTACTATTCTCCTTCCTTGATGCTACTGTTATCTTGCATAGCCTTCTTCTTCTCCTTTTAAGCCCCCAATGCACTCATTCATTGTAGGTGGAATTGTGAAATGATCTAACCATTTTGGAAAGCAATATGGAATTATGCCCAGAGAGTTATTAAGCTACCTATACCCTATGACCCAGCAATACTACTACTTGGTCTATTTCTAAAGCTGATTAGGGAAAAAGGAAAAGAACCTAAATGGTCACAAATGTTTAAAGCAGCTCTCTTTGTGGTGGCAAAGAACTGGAAATTGCAGATCAACTGGGGAATGGCTGAACAAATTGTGGTATATGATTGTCATGGAATACTATTGTGCTGTAAGAAATGATGAGCTCAATGATTTTAGAAAAACATGGAAAGACTTACTTAATGAAGAGTAAAATGAGCAGAACCAAGAGAACATTGTATACAATAGTCACAATATTGTTTTAAGAACAAGTTTCAGCAAATAAGTTACTTTGTATACTATAAACACCCAAAATAACTGTAAAGGACATGTAAAGAAAGATGCTGTGTGCAACCAGAAAAAGAACTGATAAATAGAAGTATGCACAAGATAATTTTACATATGAATGGGATGTGCCAGTGAATACTTCTCAGTGTAATTAAGATTTGGGATAAGACTCTCCTAAATTTTGAAATAAGTTCAGGAGGCAGCATAGGGTTAAGTATAGATTTCTGTAAGTCCCCTTTTCTCCCAGTGCCACATTCGTAGGTAAAGTTTGCTCAGCCTGAAACCTTTGAAGCCCCCTCTGTATCTTGTTATATCTGTAGCTATATTTCAGTCATGGTGACCTGGCTCCACAGCATAATGTCTAGCTTGACTGCACAGTTTTAATTGCTTCTTTGACATTATCTTGGCAAACTAAGAAATATAGAGATGTATACTATTTCCTTTGTTCTATGGTAGAGTTTTGTGTTGCTAAGTAGTGGACAGTTGGTGGGAGGGGGATTTGCCCTTTAGGGCTATTTAATCTGGTTCTTTTGTTTCTGTCTCTGTCTCCCCTCATCAGAGTGTACTGGTGGAGGGACACCCAAATCTCGAGATTTGAAATAATAAATTAACTTTCTGTTTCTCCTTAAAAAACCTCTAAGCGTGTTTTTTAATTTGAGTGGCATCCTACACACATACATATACATATTTGTGTCTAATGGTATTCATCTCTGGGGTGGGGGTGGGGGGAGGGAAGAAAAAGAAAGAAATTTACATGATAATTTTGTTGTATATTTGAAAGGAATAGGAAGTTGTACATAGTAGGTTGGCAGTTTCATATATAATCATCTTTTCATTGTATTATGTGATGGAAATGCCTGTTTTATTCCATAAATTACAAATAAAAGCTCTCAATGCCCTTAAAATCTTTCCCTTCCCTTTCAAGTCCATTTTCTGGACAGGTTCCTTTCTTGGTCCTTCACTTCTCCCTGTCTGTGAATGGAAGTCCTCCCTCAGTCTCTCACCAAAAGGGACTTGGATTTTGGTACACGCTCTGCTCCCACCTGCAAGACTTTGGGCAAATAAATCTCTTCAGGTTCTTCTTCTTCTTCTGCAAAAAGCAGGGGTTGTACTAGATAACTCCAAGATCCCTTCCAGCTCTAATATTTGGGGTTTTCCTGACCATGCTTCAACTCAGAGGCAGCACCCCTTGGTCAGCTAGGGCTAGGAGGAAAGTATCTGAGCTTTGGTGGGCAAGGGAGCATTGGGAGGGACACCCAGGCTTGGGCCAGTAGCTCAGCAGATGTGGTGGGAGAGGTGAGCCAAAGACAGATCTTTGTCCACTTCAGACCTACCTGACTGCTGGCCTAGAGCAATAGGAAGGCATTCTGTGGTGGGTAAACTCCTCTCAGAGGTTATTCTGTCAGCCAATGGCAGATTCTGGCCTATTCCCTGAAGGGACCAGATCTTCCATTCACAAAGTACAGAGGGTTGGGTTGTAGAGAGAGAAAAGCTGAGATGTCCCAGAGTTTTTGTGCTTTCCAGGGGTTTCAGGGTCTCAGTTTTACGTGAGAAGGCAAAGCCTGACTCATCAGGAATGATTCCCGCTTGGTTCTGAGTCAGCAGGGCCAGCTTTACGCATAAGGAAAGAGGTGTTCTGTCAGAATGTATGATTTCAGGAGCTGTGGAACTTCCCCAGCCCTCCAAGTTCTTCTCCTTCTTGGCTTATCCCTGAATTCCCTTTAATAGAGAATAAAGTCTCCATTCAGTCCTCCATACAGCTGTCTAATTGATATTCCTAACACACAGATTTGACCATGTCATACCTGTACTCAAACATCTTTAGTGGCTCCCAATTACATCTAACAAACTCCTCTATTTTACAGGTAAGGAAACTATGAGAGGTTAAGATACTTGCCTTGTATCACACAGCTAATAAGTGCCTGTTCTAGGATTTGAACCTCCATCTCCCATCTGATAAGGTAGTATGCATTAGTGGGTTAACTATACTGGGCATTTTGATTTTGAAAGATGGCAATTCTTACCCAACAGAGTGAATCAGTTGTCATTGATGGAACAGAGGCACCCAGTGATGAACAGAGGATCACAGAGAAAAGATTTTGAGAGATTATCTAGCCCAAGTTAGAGATGAGGAAACTGAGACTTAGGCAGAAAGATTGACTTGTTCAAGGTCCTGCAGGATTAGAGCCAAAGTCTCCTAACTCCAATCTCAGTGTGCTTCCTATTATGCATAATGGCCTCAGTCCATGAAGCATCCATACTTGACTGCCCCCCATACCCACTGTGTCTACTTCCCTTTCTCTGTCCAGAACCCTAATGCCAAAAGCAATGACTCACCCCAAATTCCCACTATTTATTTAAACCTTATTGTTTCTGTGGCTGTTCCAGGTAAACATGAGAGAAAGAAAACTGGCAAAAGATGAAGAAGATCCCTATGGTAAGGAATATTTTTGAAAGGGCACTGATGCCCACTTTCTCCTAAAATTTTAGATGGCAGAAAACTTCTAGGCTAGATACTATGTTCCCCCCTCCCAGCCCAAGATGTCAAAGCTAACAGGAAATACTTACTGTTTTGTAGAGGAAGAGGTGCTCTGGTCAGCATGTTCTCTGTCAGCTCAGATGTTTGAGAGATATTCAAGGTTGGTAACATTACCACCATCTAAACTGGTAGTAGCAGTAAGTAGCAACGTTTAGCCTTTTAGGATTTGCAAAACACTTTACCACATTATCCTATTTGATCCTCATGACAATCTTGGAATAAGGTATTATTGTTACCTTCCTTTTTACAAGTAACGAACCTGATACTGAGATTCTTTAAGGGAATTGCCCAGGTGATAAACATAGTCAATTGCTGAGGAAGGATTCAGACTCAGGTCTTCCTGGCTCCACAAAGAGCACATTGTGTCACTCAGCTGCCTCTGTCGTGTATGACCACTTTTTGTGGACTAACAGGAAAGCCATATTTAATGGAAATTTACAATGAAGCTAATAATCAAGGTATGTATCTATGGACTCAAAGAAAGTAAGAGCTGGAGGAGACCCCAGAGATAATTTAGGACAGGTAAATTTACTTGACAGATAAGGACACCAAAGCTCAGAGAGGAGAAGAGATTCCATATTGGAGGTTATACATGGTGTTAGTGGCAGAACTAGGTCTAGAGCCCAAGACCCAGCGTGGAGCATTGTTGAAGGGGGCAAGCCTGAGTGGCAAGGGCAATTCTGGATCTCTGGCTGAGGGCACTGAGAAGGAGACAGAGGAGTCAATTCTGAGGACTAGCTTTCACAATGTGTATTTTTTGGGTTAATTTTTCTTTCTTCCTTTTTGTTAATTGGAAAAAACTAAGCCCCAGAGAGTACCCAGATCATCCTGAAAAGGTTGATTTGATTTGTGAATAATGTTTGCTCCCTACAGATTCAGGAGAGGAGAGACAGCCCCTACAAGAGCCCAAGCTGAGGCTAATCCTGGTGGGGAAAACAGGAACTGGGAGAAGTGCAACAGGGAATAGCATCCTTGGGAAGAATGAGTTTGTGTCCAAGCTTTCAGGAACGTCAGTGACAAAGATCTGCAGCAAAGGGAGCCGGAGCTGGGGTAAAAAGGAAATTGAAATCATTGACACTTCTGACATCTTTAGCCTAGAAGTGTCTACTGAAAGCCTAAGTTCTCAAGAAGTCTTTCGATGTTACCTCCTCTCCTCCCCAGGGCCCCATGCAGTGGTTCTGGTGACCCAGCTAGGTCGCCACACTAAGGAGGACCAGGAAGCCATGAAGAAGATGAAGGAGATCTTTGGGAATAATGTTGTGAAGCACACAGTCATCCTTTTTACTCGCAAGGAAGATCTTGGAGGGGGGTCCATAAAGGATTACATCAAGTTTGCAGATAACAAGGCCCTGAAAGATCTGGTTACACAGTGTGGGGGCCAGGTGTGTGCTTTCAACAACCGGGCCACAGGGAGGGAGCAGGAAGAGCAAGTGAAGGAGCTGATGGATATAGTGGAGAGCCTGGTACGAAAGAATAGGGGCAAGCACTACACCAATGAGGTGTACAGCCTAGTGGAAGAGCTCCAATGGGCCAGCAAAGAGGAGAAGTTCAAAAAATTTGGGGAGAAACTGGCTGAGTTTAAGGAAAAGAATAAGAAGCCCCTGGGATTAGGGGTAAGGGGCTTCCTGCAGCTCAGAGGTTTGTGTGAATCAAGAAAATCTCACCCCAAACTATGGAGATTGAGCATTGCTGTCTTTGGCGTCTGCTTCCTGTGGCTAGTGACCCCTAGCAGGCTTTATAATGCCTGGTTGGGCATCAGGAGACTTTTTGGTGGCTGGTTGGGTACCACTAGTCATGAATAGCTGCTGGTTTCTACCATCTTTATTAGTGATCAGAGGAAATTTTTCAAGAACAATGCCTTCTGAATTTGATCACTTCATGGCTATCTATCACCCTTTTGTAAACCTATCTACAGCATAGCCTGAAAAGTCTAGCTTATATCTCTTCTCCTTCAAGAAACCTTCCCAGCCAATGCCAGCTCTCATGGTGAAGGAAACTTAGTGCGTTTAACATCACAGTGGATTCATAGTTAGATGACCTATGTTCAAAATCTAGTTCTGTCCCTTAGGGTCTATCTAAATTTGGATACAACCATTTAATTTCTATTGTTCTCAGTTTCCTCATCTATCTAATGGGGGTGGGTGGGCTAGAGGATTTTTAAGGTCCCTTCTAGCTCTAAATCTATGAAATCTCTTCCCTGACTTCCTTTCATACATGGATCTAGCTTCTGGAGCTTTGTTTCATACCTCTTGCTTCCATAGCTATTTGAGGTTCAAAATCCTCCATCAGTCTTTGCAAGGTTAGGAGTGATGCCTTTGCCCACAGCTACAATTGCTCTCATTCATACAGTATGTCGAGGTTTCCTCCAAGTCTGTGAGGCAGTGAGTGGAAAAACCTGCTCCCAATAACACAGATGCAAATGCTGGAGCTAGATCTTCCAACTTCACATGTGGAGTGTTCTTTCTACTTCCCTAAGCTGCTTCTCTATTTTCTTTTCTTTTTTCTTTTTCAAGGCAATTGGGGTTAAGTGACTTGCCCAGGGTCACACAGCTAGTGTCAGGTATGTGGTCTGAGATGGGATTTCAACTCAGGTCCTCCTGACTCCAGGGCAGGTGCTCTATCTACTGCGACACCTAGCTGCCCCCATTTAACAAATTAATAGCAGTTAGCTTTTATGAAGATTTGCTGAGAAGATGTATCACAGGCAGAAGTTACAAAGTCTTTCTTCCCAATAACTGGAAGGCATACTCTCCCCTATAACAAGTCTGTTCCTGGGGAGAGTGGGCTTAACCTCAAAATAATTTCTACTAAGCATTTTCACCACTCAGTTTGCTTATGAATGCGGAAGCCAATGGATCAATCATGGTCATTGCCTCTTTGCTGCATTAGATCAACTGCTATACCAATCAAGCATGTGCCAGTCAAGACTCTGATCCCCATCAGTCTCAGCTGTCTGCAAAAATGTGGTATGAACTCCAGCTCCCAGATCTTTGGTGGCTCCCCCTGCCAACCTTTCAAAGTTCACAAGGTTGCAGCCTTCTCTGAAACTGCCTCACCCAAGAACAAGAAAGTATAAAAGTGGCAAGGAATATGAGCCCCATGAAACCAGGTGGGGAGCTAGGTAGCTGGCAGGAGGCCACCGGCCCTATTGCTGTGCGCTCTCTTGGGAATGGCTGGACCATGCACTCTTAGCTCCATGGGGGTTTTGGATCAGAGATGGACTGAGGTCCCTCTCTCATCTAGAGGAGGCTTTTTGTGGCTCATCCTCCTTAGCTCATGCTGAGCATGCCAGACATGCTCAAAAGGACTGGGCTCTCACTGGCCTATTCCCATTGCAAAACCATCCATGGCCTTGCATCTCAAGAGATGTGAATTGAAATCTATCTCCTTCCAAGTGCTGTTGACACATGTTCCTTCTATATGTGTTCTCCATGTGTATTCAGTCTTCCTACTGAGGCTGTGTGTGCCTGTTGGAGTGTGCCTCAGGTTTATGGGCAATGTTATGTTTTGTTGCTCCTTTTGTTATAAGCTATTTCATTAAATACCTTTACTTTGAACTAATTAGCTCATCTAGCTGACTATGAAAGGTAAACTTACGGTGGTGGTGGTAGTGGGGTCATGAGCTATAATTCTAGGGGTGCAAACCCACCAAGTAGCAGAAATGTGGGCTAGCCATTTGTTGTGAGTTGGTAGGTGCTATCATGCTTTGCATCAACTTTTATTGTTTTTAGCTTTAGGTCATCCAGGGAGAAACAAATTCAAGGCTGATTGCATTTTTTAGTAAATTATACACACATATACACATGTATATGTGTATGTAGATGTATATATGTGTGTACCATATAAAATATATATCATAAGGATCATAAAAAGAATTCAGACACACATAAATGAGCAAGTCCATTAGTAAAATGGTAAATAGGAGCTACCTAATATAGATGATAGCTTTCCTTAGAACATGACAAGCTATGCAGTTGCTTTAGAAATATTTTGAATTAAAAGCAGTGAATTCAAAAACAAGTTAAAGAAATAGTCTCATAGTTTTGGGGAACCCAATGAAATGTTTTAAAGATGAACTTTAATGATTTTTTTTGTATCACTTTACTTTGTTTTGTTTCCTTATTTTTAAATAAAAAACTTAATCATCCCTAAAATCATTATTTTTAAAATTCAATAAAAATGTTTTAATTCAATTAAAGTATTTATCTTATTTGAAGCCCCAAATCAGCTTCTCTTCATCTTGGGTAGATGCAACACACTGGGTAGATATGACAGTCTGTAGATGGACAAAAACATTTGCCAAATGGTCTGTTTTGCATGCACACTCTACTTCTTCCTTCACAACAATGAACAAAAATTGTATTTTAGAACAATTTCTGAGCAACGTCTTTCAAATAATCTGTATTTTAAATGTCCAGCCAAATGAGCATGTGCAGCAACAGTCCTTGGTTCCATGCATTCTCCTCCTCATTGCATCCTCTAGCAGCTTAACTAGTAAGTCAAACATTTCATTAACTTGACAGCAGAAGACTCTGCATCTATAGATGCCAGAGTCACATCAACAGCATTTTGTCTCTTTCTCCCCTAGCTCTCCAGCCCTGCTCCCCACATATACCCAGGCCACAGGCATATCCATTCGCATATAAAAGCAGAGACCTAGGAAGGAATGGTAGGCTGTTGGGGAAGGTTCATACTGAAAAAATCTCAAGGCTTTGCAGAATGTATAGCCCAATGCAGCCATGAGAGACTGATGATGTGGGGGGTGAGCACAGAACCAGCTCCTCCAACTCCTTCCATTTCTAAGAGACCAACTCTGACTGAGGGAAACATGAGTCAATCCAATCTTTGCTTCTGGATCCCTCTCAAGAATACATACTAGCTCTTCTTCCCAGTATGATTGGTCTAGAAATTGAGGTGGAATTTTCTCTAAGAGGCTGGGTCCAGGGGTCTTCACCACACAGTTACTTCCAGATCTGTGGTCAAATGATTTCCTGGAGGAAGACTGAATAAAGTCTTTCCCTACCTCAGGGATTTAAGAAGGTCTAAGCTGGAGTCAGCTGTAAGTGGCTCTCAAGAGCTTGGTTGCTAAATTTTTAGCATGAGCATTTATCTTTTGGAAATCAACAAATGCTACAAATTAGGGCTTGATTTATTATTCTGTTGATTATCTAGAGTTTAGAAGTTACGGAAAAAATGTTAAAATGCAGATTAAACTTGAAAATGTGAATTGCCTATGTTTCTACTCCTCCACTCCCCCAGAGAGTAAGTTGTTAAACATTTGTTAGCATAGTACTGGTAAACTCACTCTCTGTTCTCTGTCCATGCCCATCTCTCTCTGGATGACTGATCTTCCAGACAGAAGTCTGTTCCATTCTAGACCCATAAGTCCAAGTATCCAAAGGCTATCTATAATAGTCTTGACTCAATCATTTCCCCTTCCCCAACGTCATGTCTTGTATACAGAGTTGTGTCAACGGATCAACAAGCAATGGTGGGACAGAAATTCTATCACTGGCCAATTTTGATAGGTCTAAATCCTGCACTGAATCTTAATTTTCTTCTGTGTTGTAGATTCATACCACATGTCTTAAATTGTGCTTTTCTGTTGTTCCTACCAGAAACAGGGAAAACATGCATCAGTCATGCCTCTCCCCTTACTGTAAAATGCTAGCAAGACATGACTTCTTAACATTCAATGTTTTATTTTGAATTCCAAATTTTCTCCCTCTTTCCTGCCCCTCCTCACCTATTGGGAAGATAAGCAACATGATACCTATTATTCATGTGAAATCGTGTAAAACATATTTTTAAAAATAATGCTTACTCATTTTTTAATGCTCATTTTAAAATCTTGAGTTGCAAGTAATGATTTCATCTTGAAACACTGATAATTCCCCATGGCCCGAGTATCAGCCTATAGTCTTTCCTGTGGGTAGAACAAGAAACATTATGGACTCAGTAAAAGAGCATAATTGTGTCTGTTTTTCTTCCCCAACTTATCTCTAAGGCACATAAAAATACCTTATCTGAGGTGAATTATTCAGCTCTTATTAGGAGTTCTTAATGTATTCCTTCTTGATTTTGTTTACATAGCTTGTTGGGATTCACAGTGGCTCTAATAAGCAAGGTCTGGAGTGAAGCATTGCAGTTTGGGCTTACTGTCCAGGGACTACAGAAACTGCCTTCAGTGATCATTGGGATTCTGACTGACAGTTTCTCCTATTTATCATGCTTATGCAATAGACCCTGATTCATTCCATGACTCTGAAGTTTCTCCTGCAATCACTTTCTTTAATTCAAACTTGAGAAGTACTGGGTAGTTCATTCCACATCCTATCAAGGAGATGTCATCACTTGTCTCACTGTAGTTCAATGGGGATATCTAGTCCTTCTATAAAACACACACGCACACACACACACACACACACACACACACACACACACACTAACTTAAAGATGTGTTTAAAATCAGGACAAAAACTTAATCCCTTAAACTCATGAATCCTAACCATCACCTCCCTTCTCTCCACATTCCCATTGCGTCTTATCCTCTACAATTAGAGTCAGGAAGGCCTGAATTCAGATCCAGCTTAAGATCCTTATTTACTAGTTCTGTCACTCTGGAAAAGTCAATTAACCTCTGTCGGTCTCAATTTTATTATCTGTAAAATCGGGATAATAATAGGACCTACAGGCTCACCCCTCCAGAAGAGGGGTGGAGCTTGCTTCTGGCCAGAAATGTCTAAATCCTCTGGTCTTTCTCTGTAATAAACTTTCTTGATGCTAAATTTTGGGTGTCAAATGTGTTTCTAACAATTTGATGCCCAATGTGGGGCATGATCTTGTAGACTTTGGAGGAGACAAGGTAAGATGCCTCAGGAAGAGTGCTCTCGCTGTATTTCAGCAGTCTTGGTGAGTTGAACCTTTCCCAACTGAACTCGAGATCTCAGACCACGTGTGAGAAGTCCAGGGGATTGGAGAAGTCACCAGCTGACCATAGAAGCCAATATATTGGGCAAAGATCAATCTTGTAGGAGAGTGGATGCAAGAAGAGGATCTCTGCAGGAAGAGAGATTTTGCTGGACACTGTTTGAACAGCACTTAGACAAGAAGACTTCAGTGGATGATGTCTAGAGTGTCAGACAGCTGTATGAGAAGAGACTTCTGAAGGTTTAAAATGGACAATTTATCATTACTTTTGGGTGTCTGTATCTGTACTTCATAAGGGCACTGCCCCCTTTTTAATTTGTCAATGCGTTGGTCAACTCCTCACTTCCTTCTCCCATATTGTTTTAAGTCCCCAAAATCCCCTGATGAAATGTTACCCAACAGCACAGCCCCAGAGAAGAATCATCACTAAGGCATTGCAAGGTTTAACCACTTTAGCTGAGAAGTTGGCAGAGAACTCTGGGATAGATAACTGATTAAAGGAATGGTTAGAATCCTGGTTTGGCAAATGGAAGCGAATAGCAGGATCCATCATTACCTCTCTAACAGTAGCTGTGGGAGTTTTAACTGTGGTAGGGTGTTGCA